AGACATAAGCATATCCACTCATACACAATCAGACACAAGCCAGCCACGACATGCCATCAGGGGGGGGGGCAACGAATTTGAACTGGCTGTGCGAGGCATCACGATGGCTTCAAGGAGCCCCAGCTAGGTGGTCCCACGGGACAGTTCCGAAATCAACTTGCGTGTCAAGGTTGCGTGTTATGCAGTGCGTTTTGTTGGGGCCAGTTGGTGGCATCTCTTCGGGCCCCAATGTAGAGCCCGATTTAGCACCTCAAGGAGACCTCGGTGTCCTCTCCTCGAACCGCACAGATGACCTCGAGGAGGCTTCCAGGGAAGAGACGCGTAACCGTAGATTATTTACGCCCAGGGTGGCGAAAGTGGGACTGTATGCTATTGTAGGGCCATGAACAAGGTATCCCAGACAATGCCGTTTGGCAGGGCATTCCATGATATTGTGATGCAGTGATTTGCAGTGGTATGTGCATTGTCTTTGCATGTGCCTTGGTATTGCGTTGCGGGGGTCCAGGAGAGGGCAAGCAAAGGAGGTTATACTCAGAGACCGCCCACATTTCAACCCAGCGACGTCTTGGAGCACACCTTCTGAGCACGTTGGGCCGATGGCTTCAGCGCGGCATGGGAGCAACCGTGATCGCACCGACCACGCGCACCTCCAAGGCGCCTTCGGCATGCCTGACAGCATTGGGCATGTAGAAGCGCGCCACCCCCCCTCCCCTCTGCGCCGTGCTGTCGGCTGTCTCCACACCCACCCCGTCCCCCACCTCACCCCCGCGCCCCGCGGTTGGTCTAGCTTTCTCACCGCAGCCCGTCGGGCTGAGGTTCTACCCCGAGCCAGCCTCCCACGCGGCGCGGGGGTGAGGGAAGGAGGGGTGAGGCCAGATCAGCCGATTGCATGACGAGGCTCGTCCTCACGTTGCATAGTTCCTCCTCCTCTTGGTTCTTGTCCCGCCACTCCTCATCCTACTCGGCCTCCGCTTCGTGATCCTTTTTCTCTTCCGTACCGTCATCCTCGCCATCGTTAGTATTATCTTCAGCCCCTCGTTCTCCGCATCACCCTCCCTTCAGACAGCGGGGGCGCAATTTCATCCCGTGCAGTTGCCGATACAGCATCTCAAGCGCACATCGGCGCGTCCCCGCCGAGCCTTGCAGAGGAGGTGTGACGAGACGGGTGAGGCGGGGAGGAGTACCATTGTATCAGGAATACTGCGGCAACGGGGTGGACATGACGATGTCGATGGTGAGATGATGGCGATGATAACGCTGATGTGGTGGGTAAGGTGGTGATCATGAGGATGTCGATGGTGATGGTAATGCTGATGATGATACTGGTGATGATGTCGCTGATTATGTTGGTGGTGATGATGATGAGGTTGCTCAGTGCGATGAGTACGACGATGATGGTGATGTTGATGGTGGTGACGATGATGGTGATGGCGGTGGTGACGATACGAATGATGATGACGATGTTGAGTATAGTGAGTACGATGATGATGGTGGTGATGCTGATGAGGTTGATGATGCTGATGATGACGATGATGATGTGGATGGTCATGCTACTGATGGTGATGATGGTGATGCCGGCGATGTTGATGCTAATGATGCTGATGCTAATGATGACGGCGGTGATGCTGGTGCTAATGGCGATGGTGACGATGTCGATGCTCATGTTGCTGATGCTGCTGATGATGAGGACGATGCTGCTGCTGACGATGGTGATGATGTTGAGGAGGATGGTTACGCTGATGGTGATGGCGATAGTGATGATGCTGCGGCTGATCAGGATAGCGAGGGCGATGATGTCAGCACTGAGGTAATGGGGGCGAGGGTGAATCTTGTGACGATGATACGGCTGTTGACGCGCATGGTCATGACCTTGTGGTCATGATCGTGATTACGAAGGTTGCGATCAGGATGCGGATGATGCTGGTACGGATGACGCGGGTGCGGATTTCGATTGCAAGGATTCGCATTAGGTTGGTAAAGAAACATGCATGGTGATGGCGGGAATAACGAGGACAATGCAAATATGACAGCCACGAGGAGGATAAAGCCAAGAACGTAGGGCAGGCCGCGTGTCCCATTGCGACTGCTCCCTCTCCTCCTTGTCGTGACCCGTCTCCCCTTTTCCTCGCCCTTCCCATGTTCGCATCTCCCTCCTCCACACCAGCTGTTTACTGCGGCGTCGTCCTCAGTCGGAAGCTGAGCTGCTCGAGCCGCTGGTGTCCGACGCCACGTGCTTCGTCGGCTGCTTCTTGGCGGGTGTCTGCAGGCCCTTGCCCTTGCCCTTCAGCTTCGGCTTCGGCGTGATCTTGGGCGTGGCGGCGGTGGGCTTCTTGAGGTTGCTGGGCTTGGACGAGCAGTCGGAGGAGCTGACCGACTTGTGTTTCTTGTGCTTCTTCTTCTTCTTGGACTGCTTGCCAGACTTGACCGTGTCCTTGTCTTTCTGTCCGCTCTTGCTGGGCTTGGTGGCGTCCTTGTCCTTGCTGTCCTTCTCCTTCTTGGAGTCCTTGTCCTTGCCCTTCTTCTCCTTCTTGGAGTCCTTGTCCGTCTTCTTCTTGGTGCTGCTCTTGCCTTTCTTGGTGCTGCTCTTCACCTTCTTGCAGTGGTGCTTGCCCTTCTTGGTGGTGCTCGCACTGGACTCCGAACTGCTCGACGCCTTGCGACGTTTCTTCTTGGCACCCTTCTTCATCTTCGCCGAACTGTCGCTGCTCGCCCCGCTGCTGCCCTCAACGTCGGCATCCGACTCTCCGTCAATATGGTGCTCCTCCTCTCCGTCAGCAGCAGCATCGGTGCCAATGTCGTTGTGCTTGCCGCGGTCAATCACCTCGATCTCGTAGTCAGCCGACTTCCTGCGTGGGCTGGGGATGGGCGGGGAAGAGGAAGATGGGGCTTGGGGGTAACAATGACGACGTCGGTCGAGGGGCGCGGGGATTGACTTGGCGAGGGTGGGGGGTGGGGGGGAGGGGGTATGAGAAGGAGGTGGGATGGGCTGCGGGACCATAGAAACTGATCGGTCTACATCATCCTGGACCTGGCGCTGATCATCCTCGCTCCCACCCTGCTGGCCAGTATCCCTGTCCTTCACCTCCGTGCCCTCACACTCCACCCTCGGTGATTGCGCCCAATGTCCTCGACCCGTGGCGCTCGAACCGCTTCTCGAAGTAGTAGACCTTGGCCCGCCTCTTCCCGCAATGCTTGGCGAGGCCGTTGGCGCAAGCCCACGTTGCGTAGTTGCCACCTTGCTCAGGGTCTTTGAACTCGTCGTCCAGCTGGGACCTGGAGAGCCACGTGCCCTCCGTCTCAACGGCTGGCCTGGCTGCGCATGAGAAGTGGCAGCACGAGCATAGAGAAGGTGGGATGACATAGTCACGTCCATCACCGTCGCCATCCTCACTGTCGTAGTGTTCATCGCCCTCAACGTAGCCGTCGCCATGCACAGCATCATCAACAGCAGCATCATCATTCATCGGCATCATCCTCATCATCATCTTCAACATCGTCACCACCAGGATCGACATCATCATCATCATCATCATCACCATCACCATCATCATCATCGTCATCATCATCATCATCATCTTCATCATCATGTTTATCATCAGCACCAGCATCTTCATTATCAGCGGCACCAGCATCAGCATCGCCAACCTCATTACCACCATTATCCGCATCACCGTCACCACAACCGTCACCAGCACCATCAGAATCATCACCTGTATCAACAGTGTCCCCGTCATCACCATCATTTTCACAATCCTCATCACATGCATCATCGTCATGCTTAGCATCATCAACGTCACCACCACCAGCATGATCATCATCGTTACCATCACTACCATCATCATCAGCATCAATGGCATCATATCATCGTCATATCAGCATCGTCGCCAGTATCACCACCGCCATCAGCATCATCAGTGTCACCCCATCACCATCATCATCATCATCATCATCATCATCATTATCATCATTATCATTATCATCATCATCATCATCATCATCGCATCAGCATCATCCTCATCCTCATCCTCATTCTCATCCTCATCCTCATCCTCATCACCATCATCAGGGCATTCAGCACCATTGTCATTTGCATCGTCATCTGCAGTCACATCCTCGTGATCATCCCCGTCCTCATCCGCATCCGCATCCCCATCCTCATAATCTCAAGTGGCGTAGCCATGTTCGTTGCCGCCATATGGCGGCAACGAACATGTCATCGTGATGACGGTGACGATATCGTCACCGTCATCGTCGACATCGCCATCATCCAGCCAGTGACCACATTGACTTCCTGATCCTCAAGACGGCGCCCGCCTGGTTGAAGTCGCGCTCCGCCTTCTCCCAGGCGTCTCTCAATTGGCGCCGAACCTCGGGGCGTTGACCCCCTCATCAGCATCGCATCCCCCGCTAAGTGGTATGTGTGTACACATATATATATATATATGTATACACATGTAGATATAGATACACGCATAGCTCGCACCCCTCGCATCCCCCTCTGAGGGCGTGAGAGGGTGGTGTGTGTAAATATGCATACATGTAGGGGAAGAGGGGGAGAGAGAGAGAGAGAGAGAGAGAGAGAGAGAGAGAGAGAGTGAGAGGGAGGGAGGCCGACCGAAACACCGAGATGTATAGGGAGAGATAGAGAGAGAGAGAGAGAGAGAGAGAGAGAGAGAGAGAGAGAGAGAGAGAGAGAGAGCGCGAGAGAAAGAGAGAGAGAGAGAGAGAGAAGCAGGATGGAGGGAGGAAGGGAGTGCCGAGAGGAGGGAGGAGCGAGGAGGCAGGAGGGAGGGAGAGAAGAAGCGAGAGACCGAGATAGAGCGAGAGAGAGACGGACATACTGACATGGAGAGAGGGAGAAGGAGAGAAATGGAGAATATGAGCGAGATACGGTGATACAGGATCGAGGTGGGGGTGGAGAGAGGTCGGTTATGGGGGTGGGAAGGGGAAGGAGGGGATGCGGGTCCTCCTCCGTCCGCCCTCGTTTCCCCTCTCGGCACCTGTCGGGTGGTCGCGCTGGCGTAGCGCTCCAAGAACGCCTTGCCGTCGTTGTCGAGCTGCCGCTCGCCCCTGCCAGCCTCGTCCCAGTGCCTCAGGAACATCCTGTTGCGGTTCCTGATCCTCAGTTTATCCTTCTTGCTCATGGGGCCGCGGCGTTTGCGGGGCTCTGCCTCTGCCAGCCCCAAGGCTGCGTGCATCGACCCGTCGGCCATTGCGGCGCCAAACGCGCGCGCAGCTCTGCCAGAGACAATGATATCAGCTAGATGTCGCTTGGGGCCGACGGGCGAGCCTGCGAGTGAGCCCATGGGATGCGCACGGGGGATGGGGGGTGGGGCTATGGGGGCGCTGGCGGGGCGCCCACATTAGGGGGAGGGGGGGGGGGGGTCGTCGGTGAGCTTTTTTTTTCGTAGGGGGGGACGGTACATAAGGCGAGGAAATATTCTGGCGCCCGTGTGCCTACTGGTGGGTCCAGAGCGGAACCTGTGGGGAACCTGTGGAGGGGCGCATGGGTGAGCCCAAGTGGCAGCCGTTGGGGTGGCCTCTGGGGGAGCTTGCGGGAGGGGTGGCCGCAACTTGTGGCACGCGCAATTGCGCAGGGTCAGGCGCCAACGCGTTCGGGTGCCAACGCGTGGCTCCCATGCGTAGGGCAGCGCATGCGTCTGCGTGCGGGCGCCTGCTTAATGTCTGCTTACGTCTGCTTGTGTCTGCTTATGTCTGCTTATGTCTGAGTATGTCTGCTTGTGTCTGCTTATGTCTGTTTATGTCTGCTTATGTCTGCTTTTGTCTGCTTATGTCTGCTTATGTCTGCGTTTGTCTGCTTTTGTCTGCTTATGTCTGCTTGTGTCTGCTTTTGTCTGCTTATGTCTGCTTTTGTCTGCTTTTGTCTGCTTATGTTTGTTTTTGTCTGCGTTTGTCTGCTTATGTCTGCTTGTGTCTGCTTTTGTCTGCTTGTGTCTGCTTTTGTCTGCTTATGTCTGCGCATGTCTGCTTTTGTCTGGTTATGTCTGCTTTTGTCTGCTTATGTCTGATTGTGTCTGCTTGTGTCTGCTTGTGTCTGCTTTTGTCTGCTTTTGTCTGCTTATGTCTGCTTTTGTCTGCCTTTGTCTGCTTGTGTCTGCTTAGCTTTTGTCTGCTTATGTCTGCGGTTGTCTGCTTTTGTCTGGTTGCGTCTGCTTGTGTCTGAGTTTGTCTGCTTATGTCTGCGTTTGTCTGCTTGTGTATGCGTATGTCTGAGTGTGTCTGCTTATGTCTGCGTATGCCTGCTGTTGTCTGCTTATGTCTGTTGTTGTCTGCTTATGTATGCTTTTGCCTGAGAGTGCCTGCGTTTGCCTTGTCGTGACTGCCTGTGTGTGCTTATGTCGGTGTATGCCTGCTTGTGACTGAGTATGTATTATTAGGTATGCGTATGTTTTCGTGTCTCTGCTTAGTTCTGTTTGTGTATGTCTATGCTTGTGTGTATGGTTATGTCTGGTTATGGCTGCATATGGCTGCATATGTCCGCTCACGTCGGGCAGTGTCGTGCGGCTGTTCTGCTTGACGGTGTGTGCATGTATGCGCATGCGAGGCTGCGATTGCATATGGCCCTCATGCGTTCAATTATTTTGGCGCCCTTTATGGTTTGACATATATGTGCCTCCCATCTGGGTCCACAAATCTTGCGCGCATCCCCTTTGGCTTGATCTATCTTGGCGCCCCTGCTGGGTTGACATAGTTTGGCACAACCTTTGGGTTCGAATATCTTGTACCCACCGTCGCGCTCACGTCGGCCAGCTTGGAGGGGCGAGGTTGGAAGGGGCGGTGCCACAGACCGTGCTTGTCAGGGCTACCCCAAATCATTATGTCATAATCCGTGTTCATGTGGTCTGGTCCTCCTCCCCCTCCCTAGTCCCATCCGCCCCCCCCTCCCGCATCACATCAACCTTTGTCAGTGTCGCACCTCGCACCTGCCTGGGCGCGGGGCGTCGCTGCTCGTGGGAACATGCGTGAACCAGCACGCATCGCAACACGCCTGCCGTGCCACACCAAAGACAGCGAACCCGCAGGAGTCCCCATCATTGAAGATCACCCGCAGTTATAACGAAGGCTGTGGGTTATCGGAGCTGCCCTGCGAGCGCTGCTGCTGGCGGCGCCAAAATCGGGGACAGCAAACAGATCAACTTTGTCAAGCCCCTCTATGGCGGACTGAAAAGTTGTGTGCCCTCCAGCCAGCGTTCCACGCGGAGGCGGGTGAGCCTTGCGCACATTGCCATCCGAGCCACTGGAAACGTCGAGGGCAACATGGAGGTGAAACTTGTTCGCTGGCGGACCGTCGGCATCTTCTGACGGAGTTGCGCGGGTCTTCTTTGCTGGCGGCCCATTGGTATCTTGCCACACAGTCCTCGTCATGTCAATGGCCTGGGACTGGCCTTCCATGAGAGTCTGAGCGTCCACGTCGACCACATCAACCACGTCAACGATGCCACTTTTGACCGACGCTGAAACAGTTGGCGCGCTGCCTGACGATGCAGCTGGCTGCGGATGCGGTGCTGCAGCTGGCTCTGGGCATTCATGAACTGCTGATTTGGCCGTCGCTGCAGCTGGCTCTGGGTGTTCCTGAACTGCTGATTTGTCCGTCGGTGTATCGGCCTTCTTGCTAGTGATCTCGATCATGAGCGGTATCTGTAGGATCTCACGTCGGCGGAAACCTGCGGGGAGCTCCTTGAGACGGATGTGAAGTTTAGGGTATTTGTTCATGTGGGAAATCCTCTCCTGGACATCCGCATTGCCAGACATCGCAGCAGACCGACCGCGACTTGAAGCAATATGAACGAAATAGTTGATTGGAAATGGGAATTCTAAATTGAGCCAAAGTGGCTTCGGGCAGGGGGAGTGGGAGAGGCGGGTGCTGGATAGCTTGGGCGATGCAGAAGCGCCACTCACACGCGGGCCAAGGCTCCAGAACGCGTGCCTACGCATTGTGATGTCTGGCGCTGTTTCCCCAGAGTTGCGTGTGCCTGCGCGTGCTTGCCCGCTCGTTGCTGCAAGTTTGCAGATATGCATGTCTGGGTATCACTGCATTTGCCTGATTGCGTCTGCCTGTGCCCGCTTATGTTTGTATATGTCGCCTCGTGCTTGTGTATGTCTGAGCGTGGTTGCTTGTGTCTGCGTATGTCCGAGTAGATATGCTTATGCTTGCTTATGTCTGCGTGAATATGCGTATGTCTGCTTGTGTCTGCTTATGTCTGCTTATGTCTTAGTATGTCTGCTTGTGTCTGCTAATGTCTGATTATGTCTGCTTATGTCTGCGTTTGTCTGCTTTTGTCTGCTTATGTCTGCTTTTGTCTGCTTATGTCTGCTTATGTATGCTTTTGTCTGCTTTTGTCTGCTTGTGTCTGCTTTTGTCTGCTTATGTCTGCTTATGTCTGCGTATGTCTGCTTTTGTCTGCTTATGTCTGCTTGTGTCTGCTTTTGTCTGCTTATGTCTGCGTATGCCTTCTTATGTCTGCTTTTATCGGCTTCTGTTTTATCGTGTCTGCACGTGTTGTTTGCCATATGCTTATGTCGGGGTGTGCATGCACTTTCGGTCATGCGCGCGCGGTCGCCTTCCGCCTCCAAATCCAGATCCTACCTATGTCGTCCCCTCCTGTAGTTCTTGCAAATCCTCAGCTTCATGGGCATCCCTCTCCCCTCCTCCGTCTCATCCCCCTTCTCCTCCTCAGGCCCCCCCTCCCCCCCCCTGCCCCTATTCCGGAACCAGAGCGGAGGTGAGCTGAGGTTGGGGCGTTGGCGTTGGGAGGGGGAGCAGGGCGGTGGAGAGCAGGTGGGCGGGAGCGGCCGATCTTCCACCTCCAATGGGAATACCTGCAATACCGTTCTTTGTTGTTGTCCCCCTCATCCAGTGGGCCCCTCTGAATTTTGTGAGCATCATGTACTTGTTATGTTGTTGAAGTCCACGCTCTTCAACGCGTAGTTGTTTCGCTCGCGCGGGGGTGGGGGTGTGTTTGCGCCGATGGGAAGGCTGCTCGGGCACTTGATTATTGTTTTGTGTGCTGTTTGTTCTCTCTCTCTCTCTCTCTCTCTCTCTCTCTCTCTCTCTCTCTCTCTCGCTCTCTCTCTCTCTCCCCCCCTCTCTCTCGCACTTCTGTTGCGCCGCAATTTCCCACTGCGCTCGGCGCACGGACGTATGCATGTTTTCACATGCGCGTTGCTTTCCCATGCCTGGCAACAAAAAAACAAACTCAGCCACTCATCTTTTGTATGTTGTTGCCCGCCCAACTCTGCATTGACGTCTGCTTCCGCGGCGGCGAAATCAGACGCGCACGGTCGCGTGTCTGATTTCGCGGCCGCGAAATCAGACATGCGAAGTCTCATGTCTGATTTCGCGGCCGCGAAATCAGACATTCGACCTTTCATGTCTGATTTCGCGGCCTCGAAAGCAGACATTCGAAGTCTCATGTCTCATTTCGCGGCCGCGAAATGAGACACTCGACCTTTCATGTCTCATCTCACGGCCGCGAAATGAGACATTCGACCTGTCATGTCTCATTTCGCGGCCGCGAAAGCAGACAAAAGCAGACAAAAGCAGACAAAAGAAGACAAAAGGAGACATGAAAGAAGACAAAAGCAGACAAAAGCAGACAAAAGAAGACGAAATCAGACATTAACTGTCTGAGTTTGTCTTCTTTTGTATTATGTTGTCTTCTTTTGTCTGCTTTTGTCTTCTTTTGTCTCCTTCTGTCTGCTTTCGCGGCCGCGAAATCAGACACAAAAAGAGACAAAAGAAGACAAAATAAGACAACATCAAACATTTGGGCGGGCAAAAGCAGACAAATGCAGACAAAAGCAAACAAAAGAAGACAAAAGAAGACAAAATCAGACATTGAATGTCTGATTTTGTTTTATTTTGTCTGCTTTTGTCTGCTTTTGTCTGCTTTTGTCTTCTTTCATGTCTCCTTTTTGTCGTCTTTTGTCTTCTTTTGTCTGCTTGTGTCTTCTTTTGTCTGCTTTTGTCTGCTTTCGCGGCCGCGAAATGAGACATGACAGGTCGAATGTCTCATTTCGCGGCCGCGAAATGAGACATGACAGGTCGAATGTCTCATTTCGCGGCCGCGAAATGAGACATGAAAGGTCGAATGTCTCATTTCGCGGCCGCGAAATGAGACATGAGACCTCGAATGTCTGCTTTCGCGGCCGCGAAATCAGACATGCAAAGTCGAATGTCTGATTTCGCGGCCGCGAAATCAGACACGCGACTGCGCGCGTCTGATTTCGCAGCCGCGAAAGCAGACAT